TTCTCTCTCTCTTTTTTCTCTCTTTGGAATTCTCATTTTTTTTCTTTCTTTTCTCTCTCTCTTTTCTCTCTTTTTTCTCTGCTCTTCCTTTCTCTCTTTTTTCTTTTTCTTTTCTCTTTTTTTCTCTCTCTCTTTTTTTTCTCTCTTTTTTCTTCTCTCTTTTTCTCTGAATTCCTCTCTCTCTTTTCTCTTTCTTTTTCTCTCCTTTTCCTCTACGAATTTCTCTCCTCTTTTCCTCTGTTCTCTTTTTCTCTCTCTTTTCTCTCTCTTTTTCTTCTCTTTTTCTCTCTCTCTCTTCTCTTTTCTCTCTTTTCTTTTCTTCTCTTTCTCTTTTTCTCTCTCGAACTTTGACAAAAAAATAGTCATTGCGATGAAAAGTCTTTCCCCACCCACGCAAATAAAATGGTGTGACTCATTTTTTTGGTTTTTTGCCTCGAAATGCCGACAACTGTACCCTCTCCAGACTTGTGGGAGCTTTATTATAAAAAACACGTTTGATTTATTTTTTCAGTTCACAAATCCATATTGTTCTTCTTTTTAACGAAACTTATTTAATTTTTTTTTACGCATCATGCATGGTGGACATAAAAATCTATGCACACACATTTTTTATATTGTTTTTCCAAGCGTAGATTAAATTTGGCACAAGGCCGAAAGCATATTTTTCCAGTGAGGATCAAAACTCATTACTCAGTCGTATTTGAAACAGCGAGAAAGCTTGCTAACCATTACAACACCTTGGAGCGACCCACACACAATAGTATATGAGTATGTGCAATTTTAAAACAGCTTTATAATATGGTAAGTGGACAAAAATTCAGCGGACAAAAATTCAGCGGACAAAATATAGAAGCCTGAAAATATTAACATAAAATGGATGAATCCTTTTCCCATAAATAAATTGAATAATCAAGGAATATTTAATTCATATTTTGATCTCAATTTGCATAAATTGTTTTTTTTTTGTTGTTGTTTTTTTTAAGCAAATTACACCCCAAGCAAGGCGGGAAGCCACTAACACGCAAGGGGTTACAGAGAGTTGGAGCGAGAGCAAAGATGATTGATAGAGGAAAGGATGAAGAGAAGGTTAGGGGATAGATCAGGGAATCTGGAGACGTCGATTGACATTACATTTAAATAAGTAGAGATTATAGCTATCAGGAAAACAAGAAATGGGGATGGAGTTCCACAGGCGAGAAGTGCAAGACATGAAGCTATTGGAGTAGAAGAGACGGCTACATTTAACAGTTTCGACAGTGAAAGGGTGTGAGCGAGATGCCAGCCTAGTAGAACGCTTAAATTCATGAAGTCTGGGAACCAGCGAAAGCAGCTCATCGGAGCAGTTACCATGAAAGCAGTTGTAAAAAAAAAGACAGAGGGAGACAACGGCACGTCTGTGGTTCGGCTTGCTTTTGTTTTGTTTTACGGCATACACCTCAATGGGTCATTGAATGTCGATAAGACTTTTACGATAGGTTCGTATGAATAGAATATGTATTCTTTGCGAGAAATCATTTTCTAGATCTGGTTTCATTGACAAATGTTTGTAAAGAGGGGTTTTGTCGTAAGTCTGGATTCGTTGATATATTTTTTCGTCTATACAGTAAAGATTGAAACTCACTGTAAGAAAAAGACAAAAAACACACACAAAAAGAAAACGAAGGTGTTAGAACTTAGTCACTCAGCTAAGTAGTAAATATAAGCATACTGAAATTGAAATTTAAGAAGTTGACAGGTTGTTGTTGGTGTGATTTTTGAAAAAGTAATCATCGGTTTGGTTTGGCTTGGTTTGGTTTGGTTTGGTTTGGTTGGATTTGGTTTACGGCATATCAACCCCAATGTGTTTTTTAATGACAAGATTTTTCTTGCTGGCAATATTTTTGTTCAAAAATGTATTGCTGGTAAATTATTTTTTTTCAAAAATGTATTGCTGGTAATATTTGTTTTTCAAAAATGTATTGATGGTAAATTATTTTTTTTCAAAGGTAAAAAAAGACAGAGGGAGGCAACGGCACGTCTGTGGTTTGGCTTGCTTTTGTTTTGTTTTACGGCATATCAACACCTCAATGGGTCATTGAATGTCGATAAGACTTTTACGGTAGGTATGTATTGCTGGTAATATTTTTTTTTCAAAAATGTATTGCTGGTAATATTTTTTTTTTGAAAAATGTATTGCTGGTATTAAAAAGTATTTTTACTCTTTCATAGTGTTTTGACCCCTTTTAGGGTGTTAACAATTTTCCCATGGCTGTCTTTTCGGTCTCTAATCACGATGTCAGGGTGATTAGCTTTGATTGTTCAGTCGGTGTTTATTGTGAAGTCCCATAAAATTGTGATTGAAATACCATAAAAAAAAGATAGATAGATAATGAACAAACTGAATTAGAAAGAAAGAAAGAAAACACTGAGATAGATAGATAGATAGATAGATAGATAGATAGATAGATAGATAGATAGATAGATAAACATGTACTGACTGAGGATACATTACGTTCACTAG